AAAAGCCTCGAGGTTTTGGTGGAATACAGCCGCCGTCGCAAGAAAGAGGCAGGAAAGTCAGCACAGAGGTCGCAAGGAAGGGGAAATAATTCCTCACCTTGTAGATCGAAATGCATAAAAACCATCTGCTTGAGCACAATGAAATCATTAGGCAGTGACCAATTCAGGAGTTGCGTTGAATGCTTTCGCCTTCCAGACAGGAAATGTGCAGAGAAGGGATTGTTGCAATAAATTCAAACAACTCGAGTCATCCGCACGGTTGATGGGCTTTGGTAGTTTTAAAAAGAAAATAAACCCTGAACCGAATATAGAAATCGGGACAGAGGGAAGATATCCTCCCCCGCACTTGTTTCCTGGAAGGGACGAAAATTTCGTTTTCTTTGCAATGCGCTGAACTGGTTTTGTCCTGAAGTTTACAGGCGCAAAGCAGTTGAGATTTCTGGTTATTAAAAAGAAAAACCAAAAACCAACGACCGGGCACGGCAGGGTGAATTTATTAAAAGGAATTCCTTTTGATTTCCTGTATCTCCCAGATACACTTCTGGGACACTTCTCTTTTTCTTTTTTGTTGTATTTAGTGAAATGGGAAGATCGGAAGCTTCCTTTTTAATTCTCTTGTTCAAAACTATATAAATCAGTTGCATTCTTTCGTGCTAAGGCTAATAACCTGGAAAAGACACCTGTTTTAATTTGCACTGGAAAAAGTAAGATAAAAGTGGGATTTTTTTTCCCCTGCTGAAATTTGAATGACACTTTTATTTTATTTCTGTTGATAACTAGGGATTGGGAAGATGGTTAGATAAAAAGCCCAATCAGTTATATATATATATATATATATTATTTACATACATACATACAATTGATCAGGAAAGCAGTTTTGAGTAGTTGCCCCCACCCCACACCCATTAAGCTCTGAGAAAACTTAAGAATTTTCTGTATCTACTTTGGAGACGGGCTGGAGAAAGATCCCGATTGTTGACAGGTCAGAGCAGTAGAGAATCTTTACTTTTTTTCATTCATACCTTTTTTATGAACTTTGATTTTTTTGGAAAGGGTTTTTGTAAAGTTGGCAAACAATGGTTGTATTATATAGCCTTGGGAAGAAAAATCTCTGTACATTTACATTGCTTTTTCCTCTGCCAAAGCCTGGTACCTTAATTTTCTTTCAAGGTTTTCTTTTCTCTTTTTCCTGAAATAACAAGTTTTCTGCAGGAAAAGAGACTCCCCCCAGAAATTGGAGCAAATCAAAGCAGCTGCTTTTCTGTTACATCTGGGGACTCGATTTTCTATTATATTTTTTAAAATAGTTATTCATACTTTTGTGGTGGCCTGCGTTTCAAACCACAGAGATTCTTATTTTTATTCTACCCTGTCTTCTCCAGCTCTCCCCCCCACCTTTTTACAAGTTGTTTGCATTCTTTTTGTACTTATCTTTAGAACTCTCAGTCTCCCAGATATTTAATGGCAAGATATGCCAACCTGTAGAATTCCTTAATTTAAGATGGGAATTTTTTTCTTTGTACTGTCAGGTACCGTATTTGTTGGAAATTTATTAGGAGGAAATCCAGTTTAGTTTAATGCATAACACATATGAACACTTTAATTCCCCAAGAGCTGGAATGGTTGCTTTGTAAAGATTAGGATTTTTCTAACCACAAATATATTTTCAAATTCCTGTTTGTAAAATTATGTGATTAAGAAGCACTAAGAGACCCAACCTTGTAGTATCTAAAGGTACCCTCCAAATATCTTTTTGAGGCTTGTGCTTTTTATGAAAAATAAAGTTAGTTTTAATGTTTGACAATAAGCAGAAAAAAAATATCATAGATCTGTATTGTGTCATTTTAATTCCAAACATTTTAAAATAGCCAAAAATTATAAAAGTCTAATATCATCAACATAGAATACCTCTTTTAATTAAGAATTTAAAAGCAATTTATTACATTAAAAACTCTGGTTGTTTGTCTTCTCTAAATATATTTTAGGCTACCACCTGTAGTTTAAGACGACCTTTTTAAAAACTCATTTATATACAGTAAACTGATACAGTTTACTGTATATAAATGATTAGAACGATGCGTCATAGTTTTCCTTCCTTTAAAAAATTGCTAGTTGCACCTGACATACTAAATTTCATTCTAAGTTTAGATGTTTATGATATTGTTTCTGTTTTCACATTGATGCAGTTTGTACTTTTAAAAGATGCAGATGGGTGGGTGGCCTTATGTTCAAATATTTTTATCCATCAACTTGAAAACTTGTAAATGTAGGAAATCGGAATATAGGCTTCAGAGGGTTGTCTAACGGAGATAACCAATGGACAGTTATATGTAGCTTCATAGATTTATCTCCACCCCCTTGGCCACCTCCACTCCTTTAGTTAATTTAACAAAGACTTTTTGCAATCTGTTTGGAGTTTGTCTGATGCCATGGAATAGTATCTGCTGATTTATTTGGTTGCTTTTCGATTTCTGTCGCTAGACTGTCTTTTCTCTTCCTTTCAGCGAGGATGTCAGCTGTTATTACTTCCTATTGATCCCTTTGCAAAGTGAGAAGTGAACTAAAATTAATGTCAATTCCACTGCTCGGATCAATAGCTGGAGTTATTTTAATCTGGATTTGCACAGGATGCTAAATTAAAAAAAATCAGCATAGAGGCAAAAAGTAACAGTTACTTACTTAGTCTGTACCCACTCACTTCTGTTCACCAAAATATTTTTTCAGGCTCATTATCCTGCAATCCATATTTTTTTAATTAAGCAGGCCAGTTAGTTTTCTTATTTTGGGTTCCATATTTAAAAACCAATGACATTTTGACTTTGGGAGTGCATTAACGATAGATTTTCATTATGACTAGTCTTGCCGCAGCTTCATCCATATGTGCTTCTAATGATGGCAGTGATTGGGAATAATAGCATGGGATGAGGTGATGACAGAAGGTATGTAATAGACAAGGGGAAAATGAAAAGTATGCAGGAGTTTTTTAAAATACAATTCAGTTTGAACTATTATTAAAATATGTTGATTTATTGTCAAATGAAAAAGATAGCCGGAACGATTTACACTATTCTGTAAGGAGTGTTAAGTATCATTTCCATTAAATACATTTAATGTAAGCAGGAATAGTGGCATTAGTGATAAATTCTTCACCCTCTTTCATTTCCTTGGAGATTGTGATTATCATATGTCAGTTCAGATAATGTTTCCTTCCCTAGGTAAATTATGTATACATTTTTGCTTTAAAATTAAAGAAATATTCAGATTTCCTTTTACCATTATTGTAGCTTTTGATTTTATATTGGATTATTTGTTATCTTTAAACATCTCATTGTTCAGAAAGATCAACCAAAATAATGCTGATTAGTTTACTCTTGTCATGTCTACACCCACAGCTAAAACTCAGATGAAAGTTATTAAAGATGTGAAAGTGATTCAAAAATGTTAATGAAATACTTCTAATCTTTTAGCACTGATTTGTATAAGAAAGGAAGCCAATGCAGTAGATGATGTCAGTCCATTTTCACACTACTATACTGTCAAACTTCTGGATACAGGATAGAAGAAAAGGAAATGTTATTTCTGCACTGCATGAAGGATGTAGCAAGCATTCCATAGAGTTTGTTAACCTAGGCTTGCCATTCAGATAATACAAAAGCCACTCCATTAGAAATGGGATCCTTTTAGTAAGTTTTATTTGCTAGGCCTGACCTTCTGGAACAAACAGACACATTTTGTACTGCTTTTTTATTATATGATTTTTTTGAGTGCTGTAAGACTAGTATATTGTTTTAAAGTAAGCCTTTGTATATTAAAGTGAAGTGAATTCTAGCATACTTCATGGCTGGGGCAGAAATTTAAAAAGAAACAAAAGGGATGCTAATGTTATTATAATAGGGGAATGAGTTTTCAAACCTAAACAGGATTAGAAGCAAAGATTGTTAATACATAGGCACATAAAGGAAGTATACATACACAGAGAGAGAACATGAGAT